TGCAGGACAGGGGGCCTTGAGGACCGAGTTTGGGGATGCCTGCCATAGACTTTGCATGTAAAACGTCTGCTTCTGCTGCCCAAAGCGCCTCTCGTGTGAACATATCATCAACCGATTTCAAGATATCCAGGTAGAGCGTAATCAACAACGTTTCATGAATTACATGGGACATACTGATTGATAAGTTATTCTCAAATGTATTACACACATACACACACACACACACACACACACAAAGAATGAGACTATATTTGTGCAGCTCAGAGCAAAAGGACCAAATGTTTAACAAAACATTAATTTAAAAACGGAACTGCAAAGAACAGTGCCGGCGTCTAAGGCAGGATCTTCTGCAGAAGGAGAACACAGGTTAATGACCACATCTATTTGGTGGAGGATGATAATGAACATGTGAGTCACTAACTTGTTAATTCCAAGCTCAGAGGATGAGGTCGGAAAAGGTGATGAGTGGAAATCCTGGACGGCTTCAGGAAACAGTTCCAGGTACGGTACACAGACAAGCAGAAATCCAGCATGAGTCCAAACAAACAGATCTAAATGGGTACAGGCAGGCTCAGAGGTCTGGAGGCAGAAGGAGTCAGGATCAGGCAATCAGAACAGGAAATCTAGAGAACTCTCACCAAAGGCTCTAATAATCTGGCACTGATGACTGATTTGAAAGCAGGTTTAAAAGAGGCTGAAGTAGGGGATCGGATGAACTGTAATTGAGAACTGGGCGGAGATAGGTGAATGAAATGAGTAATCAGACCAGTCATCATGACAAGATCATGACAATCCTTTGGATTGGATTTCTGTTCAAAGGGATTGTAATGACTCTATGTTTTTTTTTACTGAAATTAAAAAAACAAAATTTCAAGTTTGGCATAAATAAAAATAATATAACAAAAAACGTATACTTCGAAAAAGAGTTTTGGAAGAAGCGCAAACGTATAAGGTCCAAAACCTTAAATTCTTATCAATAACAAAAAAAGAAGTAAAAATTAATGTTAGAATTAATAGAGTACACCAGCCAGCTGATCTGCACACACTCCTTGTACACTCACCCAGGTATGTTATCAGGCCCTAGGGCCTTCCTTGGGTTGACTCTCCTCAAAGTTTTCCTCACAACTGTGTTTATTATATTGGTATTTATTCGAAAAATATATAACTGCATGTATATGCCTCATCCAGTTTCACTTCAGTTTCAATTGTGTTCAATCTGAATAAATATGTGTACTTTAAGTGAGTATAACTGGTCATTATAAAATTTGTTTTGGTCTTTCAAGGTGTTGTGACCTGTCAGAGATCATTGTATTATTATCTTTGACATGTGATTAAAATGAGATCAGAGGGGCCTCATATTCATTCAGACAGCAGCTGTCTGAACTATAGTCTGACCCAAGAAGGCCACACTATAGGCACGTCGGCCTCAATGCCAGCGGCGCCTATGAGTTGGGGCGACAGTGGCGTTGGATGTAGGAATTTGCCCTGAAATCGAAGGATTGATGGTTCAAGACTCCGACTTTCAGTGTCGTTGTGTCCTTGGGCAAGACACTTCACCTGCATTATCTACTGATGGTGGTCAGAGGGCCCGGTGGCGCCAGTGTACGGCAGCCCTGCTTCTGTCAGTGAGCCCCAGGGCAGCTGTGGCTACAATGTAGCTTGCCACCATCAGTGTGTGACTGTGTGTGTGAATGGGTGAATGAATGTAGTGTAAAGCGCTTTGGTCAAGTCTCCTGACTTGAATAAAGGCGCTATATAAGTACATGCCACTTACCATTTACCATCAAACTTTGAATCAATTACACTGTGTGATTTGGTTGAATTGTAAAGTGCCTTAAGATGACATGTGTTGTGAATTGACCTGTCTGCTATTTAACTGATTTAGTGTGTTGAAGTAAATCTGCTGTTTTCAAAACTTTTTTGAGACTCATTTGTATAAAGTAGGGCATTAATTAACTAAAACGTTTTTTTGAATTCTAGAAATCAAAATTCTTTCTGCCCAACAGCAATGATGAACTGCACAGTAGCATTTTATCTCAAGCAACTGTAGTATACAGGCGAGAGCTGTCAGTCTGGTAAAGAATTGGTTGTTATGCAAAATTGTAAAGGTTAACTGTTTTATGAATTGTAACATAAAAAATAACTAAAACGTGACAGAAACTATCAGATAATGACTAAAATTTGACTAAAACTGATAATAATAGACTTAGTTTTCATGTTTAGGATGAAAACTATGTCTATATCTACAATGGCTATCAAAAATAACATTGCTTTAATGATTATTTACAGAAATGTATATTATAAATGTATGTTATTTATTATCATCTAAGAACTGATAGTCTTGTCTTTATGTTTTTGTTGCCTTAGAAATTGCTTACACAAGAAAATTGCTGAAGTCAACTATAAAGGTTGGCTGAATAGTGAGAAAATCTATATCTCCATTTTTCTGCCAGCATTTCCATGTAAGCTCAATTTATTCCATGAAACAACCCACTGGGCTCCTGTTTTCTGTGAAGCGGAGGAGTGATATTTTGACGCATGGACCAATGAAATCTGATAAAAGTTTGGAGGATTTGTGTAGCTCCAGCACAGTCAGTGGCATATCCCTTTAACATCTGGCAAAACCTAAACTTGCACTGTTTTAAACCAGAAAAGAAATGCATAACATAAGCAAATGTTAACACACATTTAGATGCTTTTTACATAAAAACTTTACACTGCTACTCCAAAATCTTCGCAATGTGATCTGTAAGGTATGGACATGAGTAAGTAGTTTACTAACTCCTTACCTTTTAAAGCAATACATTTTTTACTGAATAATAAAAGTAAGGCGCAAAATGAAAATTCTCTGATTAGGTGTTCATTATATTCAGTATTATATATATTCATCTAAAGGGAATTAACATTAAGTTAATTTGACTTTCTGAACCAACATCCTTTTAAACAGAGGATTTAAATCTAACATTATAAATCCTCTTGGATATATATATATATATATATATATATATATATATATATATATATATATATATATATATATATATATATATATAGCCTCTGAGATGAGATGTAGACCTATTATGCACTCTTGACACTTTGTTGATTGCATGTCCGATTTAAAAGAAATGCTGTGTGACCATGAATAGCAGAGTAAAGCTAGCTGTGGTTTCATTTTGGTTTTCATGCAATAATGCGCCTTGCATGGTTATTGATCCTTTTACAGATAATGTTCTCTTTCTGCATGAACTACTTGCACCCAACAGCTTCCTTAAAGCTGTCACCCTTCTTTTTCTCACAAACTGAAGATAGAAAAATAACATTTTGTGATACAGCTTGTCAAATTTGTCCTTTTTGGCAAGGATAAGTTGACCCACAGCTGCACATGTCCCTCCTGGCTGTGGAGAGCGTCATGCTTTGGTCACTCATTTATATAACCTTCCTTTTGGGGGGTTGGACTGTCGGATTCCTGAGGAAAGTGGTTGAAACAATGATAGAACTATCATATGTCTCTTTTACAGGTGGGTCTTCATTTATGAGAAAGGTTACCAATCCACAGACACAGCTGTGAGCTCTGTGTTCACCAAAATGAAGGGAGTGGGCTACACCAACGTAAGCGGGAGGGAGACGGTGTGGGACGTGGCTGACTACGTCTTCCCCTCTCAGGTTAGCGACCAGCCTGCTTAAGCTCACCACTTGGGTTTTAACAGTTGGCTGTTTCATTCGTTTAAACTTCACAAGGATTTGTTGTAAACCTGGAAGAAGTCATGGAGAATTGTTTGGATAATAATTTAGAAAGGGATAAAGGCAGCCTTCCAGTTCATAAATCAAACTATCACAATGATAAAAAATCAGGCCGACTCAGAGAGAAAACATCAGACCTCTCTGTTGTCAAAAGGAAACCACACACCGATTCAACTACGGCAAAACTTCAATAATACAACATGAATTTATTTAACATCCATTCCTGAACCCATCTGATCAGGCTATAAACTGGAGTAGCTGTTATAACTTTACTGGCAGTCTTGCTTCTTAAAACATATTGCGTGCATGAGTTATGTATACAGCCATTTGAAAGTTATACTGTGGTTAGCTTTATCTGTTGATCTAAAATGCAGCCTGGCATTGTTAGCTGTGGGAAAGAAATAATAAAGCCACAATAAACGTTATTTGGTTTGAGTTTCGGGTGTGAACAGTTTGAGTGCATGACACAAAGGTGATCCTACCGAGTTGATAAAAAAATCTCTGTGTCATGTATGTGCTTTAAAAAGTAAGAATCAGCTTCTACTCTTATTTTTAGAGAGAATTCCTTGCAGACTTTTGAAAAAGAGCTATTAAAATGCCAATTTCTGTTCCTTGATTTTTTTTTTTTAAGCTTTGAATTATGAATACCAGTTTAGTCTAATTCCAGGTTCTCTTTAAGAAGAGCATTCAGAATGTTCTCTTTAACACCTCCAGCATTAATTTGGGTTCAGAGATGACGTCACACTGCGTGAGACAGAGGAGTATAGCCAAAAGTCATTTTTACTTTAACTTTAATAAAAAAAGGCATTCAATTATTTACAAAATTTTAAGTCTAAACTGTCTTTAGAATTCGTTATTAGCAATTAGCATGAATATTACAGTTAGCATTAGTCATTGATATCATCTTGTGAATTTTCTGATCGGCGACTGAAGTCAGGATGACAACCAACATTTCTGCAGTTTTGAGGTTCACCTTTTATAAAACTAAATCACAAAAATTATAAAAGCAAATACTGTGCAGTAGATAAACAAGTATTATTTCTTTTTGCATTTTTTTTTTATAAAATACAAAAAAAAAAAAACAATCTAAACAAAAGTAAGAATGTCTTAGAATAAGTTTATTTTCAGGTAAATAAGATTATCTGCCAACAGAACCAGCATTTTCTAGCCTTAAAATTAGATAAAGAAATTTTTGCTCTTAAAATAACATGATATATATTGTTTTATGTTAAACATCCATTCATCCATCCATTTTTTAACACGCTTATCCCAAGTGGGGTCGCGAAGGGTGCTGATGCCTATCTCCAGCAGTCATTGGGCGAGAGGCAAGGTACACCCTGGAAAGGTCGCCAGTCCATCACAGGGCAACACAGAGACAGGACAAACAACCATTCACACACACACTCACCCCTAAGAGGACTGTAGAGAAGCCAATTAACCTAACAGTCATGTTTTATGACTGTGGGAGGAAGCCGGAGTACCCGGAGAGAACCCACCCCTCCTCAGGGAGAACATGCTATGTTTAACATAAATGATCTTATTCTATTGGCAAATTGTCTTACTTATCTGCTCAAATCAAAGGAAAATAGTCTTATTAAAAAAAAAGTCTATTTCAGCTTTTGCATTGTAAGGTTTTTATAGGACCCATCAGAATGTAGTGAAGGAATAAGACTCCAAAATAACAGATCATTTAATTTAGTAAATTGTTGATTTATTTGTTATATTTATTGATCATAGATCATAAATCATAATTAATTTACTTTCAGCAGTCTGAAATGCTTAGAATCTGTTGGAAGCCTAAACCATTCCTTTACGGAGCCTAAATGAAAATATTACAATTATGTTATCTAAAGGATAATTTACTCTCTGAAGTTCTGTTTAAATATTTTAGCTGTGAGAAACATTTCATATTATATCTAGTCTCTGAAAAAAACAACACTAAACCTATTAGCAATGATAACAAATATATTCCTATTACAATACTAATAAAGAAACAAAAACCTAAATTCAAACATGGTTTATTTTAAATATGTTTGCAATTATTCTGGTTAATTTCTTTAGTCAACAGGCTTTGTCCTTTTCCAATCCAACAATCTAAATCTTTCAGGGAGACTCATCGTTCGTTGTGATGACTAACTTCATCATTACCGAAGGTCAGAAGATGGGAAAGTGTCCAGAGGTATTTGCTAACCCCTCTTCCTTCTTCCCGCTCTTTCCCTGTGTCCTTCTCTCCCCTCCTGTCTGCCTTGCACACGGCCGTAAATAGTCAAAGAAAACATAAATATTATCATACCAGGACTGCTTGTGCAGTTGGTTTTATTGATGTCTGGCAGTAAAGTGCTTTTGTACGATGCAACAGTAACAGGCTGCATCGTATGGGAGATCATTAAGGCTTCAGTGTTTCTCTGTATTGTTTACATTCCAACATGTTATATGCAAAGCTGACCCAATTCTCTTGTTCCCAACAGCTTACGGGTAAATGCACCTCAAACGATGACTGTACAGAGGGGAGTTACAAACGTACGGGACATGGTAAATTCTAAGTAACCTTATGTTTGAAACTCAGAACACTTTTTTGGCTTCACAACATCCTGTTTGTTTTGCCTCTGAAATGAAATGAATGAAACTAAGCCCGCGATCTTGCTTGATAACCCGCTGACAACAGCAGAGTCTGGTGTCTGCTGGCTATTTGCAAACTAGGCTTGGGCTTTTAGGAACTGACAGAGTCCTACAGTAGATTACCACCAAGTTAAACATTTAGATGTAAACAATAGTTTGCCTTTGGCCATGGGATTAAAACAACAATGTTACTCTTGGCAACCAAACATTTGATGTATTTGCTTGTGTTGTGGCCTAAAACCCAACCTTAAGCAAACAGCTACCAGATTAACGCTGTGCATCTGAGTTCTCTCATGTTATAACAGCAGAGGAACATTAAGAACAGGGATCACCTCAGATGAGTCCAAACAGAAGTTACATAAACCTGTCGTGCATCTGTGCCCAGCTTTCTATTATGAGCCTTTCTGCTTGTCCCTGTCCTGCATCGACTTCAATAAGAGCAAAGCTTTAGATATGTCTGCGTCAGACTCATTAAATTCACCTTGTGCCAGAGTTCCTTTAGAGGTGGCAGGCTGACCCTGCGCTGAAATGGAAGCATGTGGGGGTTGCTCCTGCCGGCCATACAGGTCAGTGGGGCTTCTGGAAAAGCTTCTGCAGCTGAGCAGTGCCTGCTGGTGAAATGCCGGCACTCTTCTCCTAATGAGGCAAAGCACCAGAATAGGGAGAGATGAGGGAAACATTTAATTCAGCATTTGCTCCGTTTTACTTTAATATTTCGCTCCCTTGCGTTGATGTTAATCAGAGATAAGGAGAAATGTGGAGGATATCTAAAGTGGTTTAACATGAGTTTCTGTTACTCGCATGCCGTACTTCTGCCTCATGCTTGCTCAGTTCAAAGTTCTGTCCTGATAATGAGATTTTGCCTGTTTCCTTTTAAGGACATATGACTGGAGTCTGTGTGAACACAACAAAAACCTGCGAGGTGTTAGCGTGGTGCCCTGTTGAAAATGACACCATCATACCAAAGTAAGTATATGCCTGAAAATCTTCTGCCTGTTGGGGTCCAAGCAGAAAAAAAAAACTTAGAAAACACTGAAGGCTTTTAATGCATTCATGTTTTTATTTCAAAATCCTGCACAGCAAGATGTGCTTTAAAGGAGATCCCAAAATCTACAATCAAGCACATTTAATGGCCTTGAAGGGCTTTTCTTTGATCAGGAATATTTCTCATCTGTTTTTTGAAACCTAAATCCACTAAGCTTATTTGTTTTAACTATGTCAATAAAAAACTAAACAATAGGATAGATAGAGTATGACCACACTGAAAGCTATATAATTTTCAAAATTATGAAATACAGTCATAATATTATAATAATAAAGTCATAAAACTAGTTTTACAAAATTAAAGTAATTAAATAACTAATAAAATTGTAAATTACAAAATTTATTCAAATAAAAAGCTATAGGAGAATAAAATATAAGAGTTATAATATTACCAGAATAAAAAGCTAATGAGCATATCTTTAAGTAAATAAGTAGAATAGAATAGAAAATCCCTTTATTCTCTTCTGGTATTCCGGTGTTTACAGCGGAAAAAAGGTTATAGAAAGAAATGGTCACACAGAAAAATGTATAAGAATAACATAATAGTGAAAAGTTAAAAAATGAACAATAAAATACTGTACCATAAAGTATTTTAACAATATATAAAACTGTGCACCTGGAGAATAAATTACCAATATAATGCTCTGGACATTTTTACAGTAATGGATATTTGAAAATAGCAGCAACATCACAGATGTGCAAAATGACAGCAGCATGTTATTTAACTAAGATAGAAACTGTGCAAAATCAACATGAATATAACAACTCATTGAGCTTGTTGGGAACAGTGGTGCATATAGAGTCTTACAGCTGCTGGGAGGAAGGATCTTTGATAACGCTCCCTGGTGCATTTAGGGTGCAGCAGTCTGTCACTGAAGGAGCTCTCCAGTTCAGCACCAGCTCCATGCATGGTGTGAGAAACATTATCCAAAAGAGATGTTCATTTAGTTAGGATCCTTTTGTTTCCCACCTCCTGCACTGAGGCCAAAGGACATCAATCACAGAGCTGACCTTCCTGATGAGCTTTTCCCACTGCTTTCTCTCAGCTATAGATAAGCCACTGCTCCAACAGACAGCTCCATAAAAGATGGCTGATGCCACTACAGAGACATAGATAGTCTTTAGGAGCGCCCCCTGCACTCGAAAAGGCCTCGGTCTCCTCAGCTCAGAAGATACTAATCTGACCTTTCTTATACAAAGCCTCAGTTGGGAGTCTAGTCCAATTCATTGTTCAGGTGAAAGTCCACCACCAGCTCCTTGGTTTTCCCTGCAGTAATCAGGAGGTGGTTCTGCTGGCACCGGACCTCGAAGTTCTGGGTCCACTGTCTGTACTCAGAGTCGTCCCTACCTGTGATGAGGTGACCCAGGCAGAATCGTCAGAGAACTTCTGGAGGTGTCAGCGGGGAGTTGATGGAGAAGTCTGCAGTGAAGAGGGTGAAGAGGAACGGTGCCAGCACTGTTCGCTGTCAGACCCCCTTAGTGTAGGACAACCTATCTGAGACACACCCCTGTGACCTCACATACTGTGGGGAACCAGTGAGGTAGTCCAGAATCCACTGGGATATGTGCTGGTCCACTCCTGACAGCTCCAGCTTCTCCTTTAGGAGTCCTGGCTGGATGGTGTTGAAAGAGCTGGAGAAATCAAAGAACATGATCCACACAGTGCTTCCAGGTTTCTCTAAAAGGTGATCTGCTCATGTAAAGATTTTTTTTTTTACCCTAAAATAAGATAATTAGATGTTATGCACTTCAAATAAGATAACAGAATTGTTTTTTTTTCTTATTTTAAACATAAATCTTTTTATTCAATTGGCAGATTCTTACCTGTCACATCAAATTCAGGGAAAATACAATATTTCAAGAAAATGTCTCAATTTCTGCAGTGTGGTGACATCACAAGAGCAAAGTTGTAATGTTACCAGATTGAAGCCGTAATATTAGAAGAATAAATTCATAATATCACCACAATGAAGCTGTGATATCACAAGAATAATACAATACTATAAAATGAAAGAGGTAGCATATTTGAATGTAAACTCTGTAATAAACTACAGTTCCCCCCCCTGAGTTAAAAGGCTCAGGCTGTGGTTAAATTTATGACTCCATATTGAAGATTTTTTGTCTTATTAAAACAACTTTTTTGTCTAATCATATTATGAATGTTCTTGAATAAAATTAAACTTAATTCTAATAATATTAAGGCTTTATTGTTCTATTTTTACAACTTTATTCACGTAATATTAGGACTTTATTTTTATAATAGTTCCAGTATGCCCAACACTTTGTCATAAAAGTTAGACACGCCGTTTCCTAAATGGGGACTGTTTTAAAAACCTCCAGATTATGAAATCTGTCACCAAAGATGCCAGACTTAAACAGTAAATTTGACAAATTATTCACATCTTGTAGTTATTAGTGGAAATAAAACACTTACCAAACTTAACGCATCCATTAATACACACCAAATAACTTAATAATTTACTTTCATTAAACTACTGCTGAAAAGACACAAACAATTTATTGTTAGCATGATGTGAATTTGAATTAAAAATAAAAATGGAAGGCTAGTTTTATTAGTATCTAATATTTTTCTCAGATTCTTCTAACCTAAATTAACCAAAATGCCTCCTGGAAGCTTCTTACACAAACCAGCATTTCCTAAAAACATAAAAGTCACATAGTTTTTCTAGGCTTCTTGTGAAGATACAAGATGAGGTTTAACTCTGCAGAAATGTGGCTTTCATCGTAGCTCTAGATCTCCCTCTGCTGTCCGGTAAACATGGAAACTGCCCCCATTACTACGGCCTCTGTGTCTATGGTCATAAAGGTTCTGGTTTAACATTGTGGATCTGTTTGCAGTCTTTCCAACCCCACTCTGAAAGGAGCTCACAGTAGCCGTGCTGATTTATACAGAATATTAATGAATATCTTTGGCATTGCTGTCCTAAATATCTCATTTAAAAAGAAGTATCACCGATCCCTTTGAGGGAGTTTTCCTGTTTCCTATCTTGCTATGATTGTATAATTCAATATCCATATGGATATAAAGTCAAATTATATTTAAGTAAAAGTCAGTTTCTCTTTGTCTAAAGGATATTTAAAGTAGAAAGTGGCTCAGTGATTAATTGGTGCAGCACATCCATCCTCTAGGTGGAATTTGGTCAACCATTGCCTTCTGCCTCAGCCGGTTATCGGATTGTGGTGTACAAGTATTAAATAAGTGGGAAGATTGAGATAAGAAATGCTTTCATTGTCACAGCGGGGAATTATTGGTATAGGGGTGGCAAAAAACAATTACACAAAAATGTACAGGATGCAGAAGGAGGAAAAATGACATGGAAAAGGGAATACTTTATAACTATTATCAAGAAACTCCATATTAATGTAAGAAAGGTGGAGAAAATAGGAAAAAAAACAGCAAAAGATTAACAGAATAAAAGGAAAAGCTGCAAAAATATGACTAAAAAAAGAGACAACCTTTACGAGGTTAAAATATTTAAACAGGAAGTCTTCGTTCTGATCTATTCTCTACTGTATAACATGTTAGGATTAGAGCAGTGCCAATGAATCTTTGATCAGATCAAAAACCTGTTTGTAAACAGTATTGAGTTTGCACTACTTTAAAAGAAACATAAGTTATTTGTTCTTGAAATAATAGCATTTTTCCTTGTTTTGAGCATTAAGATGATTTGCATTTGAAATATATATATATATATATATATATATATATATATATATATATATATATATATATATACACACTCACCGGCCACTTTATTAGGTACACCTGTCCAACTGCTCGTTAACACTTAATTTCTAAGCAGCCAATCACATGGCGGCAACTCAGTGCATTTAGGCATGTAGAAATGGTCAAGACAATCTCCTGCAGTTCAAACCGAGCATCAGTATGGGGAAGAAAGGTGATTTGAGTGACTTTGAACGTGGCATGATTGTTGGTGCCAGAAGGGCTGGTCTGAGTATTTCAGAAACTGCTGATCTACTGGGATTTTCACGCACAACCATCTCTAGGGTTTACAGAGAATGGTCCGAAAAAGAAAAAACATCCAGTGAGCGGCAGTTCTGTGGGCGGAAATGCCTTGTTGATGCCCGAGGTCAGAGGAGAATGGCCAGACTGGTTCCAGCTGATAGAAGGGCAACAGTGACTCAAATAACCACCCGTTACAACCAAGGTGGGCAGAAGAGCATCTCTGAACACACAGTATGTCGAACTTTGAGGTAGATGGGCTACAGCAGCAGAAGACCACACCGGGTGCCACTCCTTTCAGCTAAGAACAGGAAACTGAGGCTACAATTTGCACAAGCTCATCGAAATTGGACAATAGAAGATTGGAAAAACGTTGCCTGGTCTGATGAGTCTCGATTTCTGCTGCGACATTCGGATGGTAGGGTCAGAATTTGGCGTCTACAACATGAAAGCATGGATCCATCCTGCCTTGTATCAACGGTTCAGGCTGGTGGTGGTGGTGTCATGGTGTGGAAAATATTTTCTTGGCACTCTTTGGGCCCCTTGGTACCAATTGAGCATCGTTGCAACGCCACAGCCTACCTGAGTATTGTTGCTGACCATGTACATCCCTTTATGACCACAATGTACCCAACTTCTGATGGCTACTTTCAGCAGGATAATGCGCCATGTCATAAAGCTGGAATCATCTCAGACTGGTTTCTTGAACATGACAATGAGTTCACTGTACTCAAATGGCCTCCACAGTCACCAGATCTCAATCCAATAGAGCATCTTTGGGATGTGGTGGAACGGGAGATTCGCATCATGGATGTGCAGCCGACAAATCTACGGCAACTGTGTGATGCCATCATGTCAATATGGACCAAACTCCCTGAGGAATGCTTCCAGCACCTTGTTGAATCTATGCCACGAAGAATTGAGGCAGTTCTGAAGGCAAAAGGGGGTCAGACCCGTTACTAGCATGGAGTACCTAATAAAGTGGCCGGTGAGTGTATATATAGTTATATATAAAATACTGTCGCTACAAGCATACCAAGAGTCGATGCAATCAACTGGTTTGCATTAGATATAAAACTTAATTTGACGTATGATCTGGTGGGTAAATATATATAAATCTAAATGTAAAAAAATATATATATCTAAATATATATATGTAGAGCAGTGGACCAGGTTTGATCCCAACAGCCTCCACTCTGGGTTCCTGAGCAAAACCCTTAGCTCCACACTGCTCCCCAGGTGCCACACAATGGCATCCCACTGCTCCCCAAGGGGATGGGTCAAAATGCAGAGTGAATTTCCCCATTGTGCAATAACAAAGGGTTTTACATTATATTATGTATATAATTTTGTCTCAGCAATCATTCTCATTGCAATAGCAGAACATATGATTTCCTTTTCATGTTAGGGTAAAAATATTATATCTAAAAAAATATTGTTTTAATCTTTGCATTGTGTTGGGAGCAGATCACAGAGTCTAACAGCAGCTGGAGGGAAGGATCTATAGAGGTGCTTTCTTGGGCTGATGCCTAGGAGGCATTAGCCTGTAGCTGAGTGAGTTCTGCAGTGGTGCAGCAGAATTATGGGAATGTTCCCAGGTTGTCTCCCACGGACAGAGGATTTTTTATCCAACACACAGCAACACACACATCTCCTAAGGAAACAATAAGGCCTTGCTATTTTACACTAAACAATAAAAGATTGTGACATTCAAAGATGTGGTCTATAGTGGTCCATTTTTTATTCTATAAAACTATCCACAAGATATATCCTACAATCTGCGCTGTTTGGTCAGGCAGGATGCCTTCATTGTACTTTCAAAGCATCAAAATAGGGGTCAACTGTGTGCCTGGGCAGCATTAGGATAAAGCTACATATTCCAAATTAAATATTAAGCAAATGAATAAAATTTCATAATGTTCCCTCTGAGCTCTAACATTAACAGTCATTTTTTAGTGAAGTACATGGTCATAGGAGCTTCTGTCAGAAGCTTTGGTGTCAATTTAAATTTCTATGCCACATACAATAGTAAGTTTTTTTGGTTTATAGTTTTTTGTGTGTGAAAGGGGTTAGGTTTTGTGGTAACACAAACGCACATTTCTAAGAGAAATAAAGAAATCAGCTCTGACCTCTTTATTGGAGCAAACAGAATGAGAGTATTTATTACCACACTGCTGCTAAAGCTCCTCTCAAATAAAAGAGGTTCTGTTTCATCGTCCAACATGATGCATGGAGTAGTGAATTAATTGGATGTTTTGGCATAAGGCTTTCCAACCATTTATATCACTATCACCATATAGTTTGCATTGTCTTACATCACAACCGTTAACCTCAGTGTGTTCCACTGGGAGGTTATGTGATAAACCAACACAAAGTAGACCATTTAAGTGAAATAAAATCTCAGAATAAATTTGGGTGTACGCTTATATTTAGCTTAATTTGCCCCAAATGGCCTTAAGTAAGATCACTACTGTAAGTTGAAAACTGATTCCAGTTGTTCTTTGGACTCACCAGCCTTCAGTGTTTCATTTTACAAATCTGCCCTGTGGTAGATGAGCAAGAAAAAAAGCTACTGTCACAAGAAGCCAGATAAACATTGAAGTTTGCCAAAATAAGTACGAGACCCAGCAAATATGTGAGAAAATGGGCTCTCGTCAGATTAGACTTACCACCACATTACCCCTGTAGAAGCCATTACTTGTCAAACATGGCTGTGGCTGCATTATGCTATGGAGATGCTTATTTTTAGCAGGGACAGAGAAACGGTTAGTTTAAATGATTTATTATATAAATGCCTCTAAAAAAAAAATTGGATTAACTTGCAATAATAATAAACACATGCAAAGAAAAAAGGCTGCAAGTAAAAAAAACAACTCCAAGTTTGGAAAAGCTGCTAGAAAATAGAAATCAGCGAAGGGAAAGGCTACAAATTTTTCAGTATTCACACATTAAATGGATTTCTATGTCCCTTTAAATTCAACAAATGAGCACAGAAATGATGCTAACAAACACACAAAAATAATAATATTAGTAGGGCACACCAAATGTTTTCCTTTGAATCTTTTTAATCATTTAGTTTAAGCATCCTCATCTACAGTATGCCTGTATATAGGGTCTGGACCTTTTACATTTGCTGTTAAATCATGCATTTATGCTGCGTTTGCACCCCTAAATCCACCGTAAAATACAATTCGATGCTGTAAGAAAAGCTAAAAAAAAAAAAAAAAAAACTGGGTTGGTAGCTTAACTTTTAACTGTAGAGCAAATTTACATTGGAATAGTTTAGATCAGAGCATGTTTCTGTAGTAAAGTCCAGACCCACAACTGATGGTCGATACACATACACACTTCTTTTTCTTAAAACAAAAAAACAGAAAATTGGAAAACACTTTCCCTCTACTTTTCAACAGCAGTATTGGCTGCCTTATGTGTTAAACTATCACAACAATAAAATAAATACAAGATAAAATATCCAGTGTCTGAGGCTATTACATATTAAAATCTAATAAAAAATAGAAAATAGTTTGAATTGTTAAATATGACAAAACTGGAAGTGAGACAAAATCCCAAACCTTAAAGGTGCTGATGTGTCCTCTATAGTCGACCAAACGGCAAACTGTATATGAGCTGGTAGTAGAAATAACATACTTAGTTATCAAACAGATGTCTATCTTCTCAGCCTTGGGTTAAATAAAATCTTAGCTTGCATGAAATTTTTAAATCTTTGTGTTTAAGCAATTCCTACTCTCAGTCGAACTGAAATAAATTCACAGTAGTAGCCTTTCAAAATTTCCCCAGTTTCCGTGATGGGCCCTTGCCTGGTTCCCTACAATTGCTTTTTAAACATCAATATTTGTACTTAAATATTCTTTCTGTCGTAATTTGTGCACATTTAGTTCTAAAGAGACGTGTTGTCTCCTGGTCAGACCCTGTAATTCAGTGAAAGGGTGGAGTCAGAGTAAAAAATATGCACGCCCAGGAGGCGGCCAGTGGCTGGAAGTTGGAGGGGATTTTTTTCTGGGAGTCACAGGGGAGTGGGCTGCCATTCAGCTGGCGTTTGACTGGGAAGAGCGACTTTTAATGGCTGCTACTGTAAGGAGGCCTATATTCAAAACATGCTGAAATAATGTCATCAAGTTTTAATTCTGCTTTGACCTTGATGTTTTTAGTGGTGATGATTGAATTTGCATATTCTATTATTATTTGGCAAATATACAAAGACTGTATTTGAATATTTTTCTTGTTCTCTATTCCAGGCCTCCTCTTCTGACATCTGCAGAAAACTACACACTTTTCATCAAAAACTCTGTAACTTTCCCTCTATTTGATGTCACAAGGTGATAGAGCTCATTTCTGTTACACCAAATAAAACCTAGAGGATCTTACTAACATGTTAAACAGTAATCAATATAAAATGAAGAGGCTTGTGTTAAAACTGTAGAAGAAAACTTTACTGTTTTGTTCTCAAAAAACAACAGCTGTTATGAAATGTTTTTCAGTTTGGTCTGAGTTCTGGTACCAAGAGGAACTCATAAAAACCAAGTAAAGATGGATTTTCTAATAATCATTTGTTAACAGGAGTAATTTGGTGGAGGGCATTGATGGGGCATACCTCAAGAAATGTCTTCACCATCCGAAGAATGATCCACTCTGTCCTATATTCAAACTGGGAGACATAGTTAAACACTCTGGCTTCAGTTTTGAAGATTTAGCCCAGGAGGTAATTTTCATGTAGATGATCTTTGCTTTAAATGTTGCTCTCTGTAATCACAGCAGTTTATGTGTTTTTTGCTCTTGTTTCCATGGGAACCATCACGTTCTGTGTTTGTTTGACAGGGAGGAGCTATTGGTATTGTGATTGACTGGACATGTAACTTCGATGTTGATGTAAAACACTGCAAACCTCAGTACAACTTTCACGGTCTCTATGGAAACAAAGACAGCACGAATGCATCGCTTGGCTACAACTTCAGGTAGTAAAATCCTCACAGCACCCAATTCCTGTGATTTAAAGAATCATCTAAACAAGAGAGGAGTTATTTTTTATAGAGAGGATATGACATTTATCATAGAATTATATTTACAGTAGGAAAGATAACCACACTAAAACCAGTTAAAGCAGCATCAAATAACTCCTCTTAAGTTTTTATTTATCTCCATATATATGTGCATATAAAAATATATAAATTAAAATTTTAATCTTATTGTGGAGAGAGCAAGGATATATTTATTTATCAAACCTCATTTTCCAGCAGCAACTGCACCCTTTACTGTCCACTTTATTGGCTGGATTGAAGGCATTGAGTTCCAGCAGTTTAAACTTCAGGATGTTTCCTCGTCTCAATCACAGATATCAGGAACGCTGCTAGGAATTGGCTGTGTGTTTCCTGGACTGAAAGACATTGATATTGCCCCCCCAAACCTGACTTTATACGAGGGAATAAATTGAATGTGATTGGTCGTTTATCAAGGAGGCGGGATTGTTGTGGCAGAAGGTTCGCAAGCAAGAGTTTGATCGTGGCCGGTGTCTCCGAAACATCTTGCTAACCAGTTAGCAACTAAGTGCTAGTAGCACTAAATTGGTGACTTAGAAACAATTCTGTCAAGGAATGCTATGGACAGTAACACATGCAAGAGGAGGAGAGTTTTGTGTTTGAGGTCGTGGATGAGTCTCCTCCGTCATACATTTTTTATTTAGAGGAGGAAGTGGGGACGAAGATGTTGTGGAAGAGGACGCCAGGGCGGCAGAAGCATGGTTTGGCATAGAAGGCTTACAACCATACATGTTTGAGCCCTTGCCTCGCAGCGCTGCCAGTTCTGTTAGCTCTACGCCTGCTGAAGACACAGAGGTCCATCCCCGTGAACACTGGACTCAATGGGAAAGGAAATGATTCTTATTTCTTATTTTAACGGTTGCGTATATTAGCTATGACATATGATCTAAGAAGTTATGACCGGGAAAAAATTTTATTGACAGATGACCGTTGATATATGACTGGCCGAATTTATATTTCTATAGGGCCAATTCACAACACATATCAACTTAAGACACTTTACAGTTCAACCAGATCATCCAGTCAAATTGATACAAAGTTTTCTATCTAAGGAAAACCATTTGATTCCATCGACTAATTGACTCAAAGCCAATCCCTCACATTAAGCATGCTTGTAGCAACAGTGGAGAGGAAAAACTCCCTTTTAACAGGAAGAAACCTCCAGCAGAACCAGGCTTAGTGTGAGTGGCCATCTGCCGAGGCCGACTGGGGTTCAATGAGACAGAGGCAGAGATACAAAAAGCAGCTTTAAAAGGCGGCCCCGTCCAGGACACACACAGCCAGGCAGACGAGCTCTGATCCAGCTCCCATGTTAGAGGAGGAAGAGATCACATCCAGCCAGTCACGGTCAGAGATACAGGACCACACTGGAAAACAGGCCAAACTCCAACATCTACAAACAAAGGTGTTGATGGCAGCAGCATAGCTGATATTTCTCTCCAGGAAGGAGTCACAGCCAAACAGGAACAGACGAGGCAAAGCTACTCTGAGGAAAAGCAGAGAGAGCAGAACGTTAGAGA